AGTCAACCACCAGAGAGGCTCCGCCCGCTTTTTTCGGGGAACATCAGTGTTCCAGGCGTCGGTACAGCTGATATTTTATACTAACTAACCGAACTGAACCTACAACTGTTGTTATAGAAGAGTGTGACGGCCCCAGGGCCTTTGTGCAGGTGTGTTGCAGGGCTTACGGTGGGGTGGAGCTGAAGAGGGTAATCAGCGCGATCACGGACACTTCCGTAGCCGGTGCTATTAATCCCAGCGGCCCGGAGTCTCTCTCCAAAGCGGCTGCAGAAGGACGAACTGAGCGACCCTCTCCCCTCGACCACCTATCTCTGCATTTACCACAATAAATGTGCCGTGGTTTTGTAAACTCGTGTATGTCTCCTTGCCTTTCCGTTGTGGCCTACGAGCCAACATAACAAAGAGTAAGTTATTTTTACCTGTAATAAACTACTACTGTTTGATGAGAAATCAAATCATGGTTTGCTAATATATGAATTCAGGGAAGAAAGGATAGGCCTACTAAGTATTTCCATTAAACTTTATTTTTAGAAATGTACAAAATGAACATAAATATACATATATACACGGTATATCATCCATTCCTCCTCCTCTTGCCTGCGCACAGCCGGTGCGGTGCGGTGCCTTTTAGCACGTCCCGTCCCCGTCATGGATTGTCCGCCAGGATCTGGCTGGACGAAATCAAATGCAAATCACAAAATATTAGAGAAACTTAGTTGTTTTAGATTCGTTAGTAGTAGTTGTGTAATGAACAGCTTGCCTGCTAATATGCTAACCTAGCTTTGTTTACCTTGGTAGCTAACACGATATGAACGTTAGCTTGGAGGAAAGGCAACTATAATGCAGTGTAATAAAACTACTATGAACAAAAGCTAGTGGTTCATATTAGGGTAGCAATAACGTGTTTATAATTGCAATCGTATACGGGTATTCTGCTACCATACAATGTAACTTGCATGAATACATTGTTTTGCGCTAGCATACAGCTAGCCTCGTTAGCTACATGCAGTATATGTACGGTCACAATGTACGGTAAACCGGAGTATACTGTATGAGTATTCCGTGTGTGTGACTGCAGACATTCTCCTGCCATGACAAACATGTAAGGCCATCTGCTGACATTGTAGTTGATATATTTAAACGCTAGCAACGTAGCATCACAAAAATGTTTTTCCGATTAAATCTAGCTCTAGCTCCGTGTGTTAGATCGGTTGCACACACGCTACGCCAGCTATAATGTAATTACGTTTCGCGACTGACCGCACGGCAGTATACTGTCAATAGGTATTTTGTGTGTGCATGCAGACATTCTCCTGCTATGAGATACATGTATGCAAGGCCATCTGCTGATATTAGAGTTGATATATGGAAACTCTAGCAACTTAGTTAGCACAGTTAGCACTGTGTCAATGGCTTAGCAGTCCAACACAGTTTACACATTTAAACAGTCTTGTTTGATAAATACACAAATAACAATGCAAACTTACAGGTTGTATACCCGGATCTTCCCCTGCTCCAAACGGTCCAAACAAGCTGTGCATATCCGGCCTCAAACTGGGCAATGTTTTGGAAGCTTTCGTCTGTGAAATGCCGGTTCTTCGAACCTCTGGAGGAGGAACACGCCGCTGCTGGTGTGGCCATAGCTCTTCGGGATTGGTCCATTTCGTTCCGGGTACCGCATGACATCAGGCGGTACCCGGAAGAATCAAATGGGCAGTGACGTATCTCCAACGAGGCGTTTTGGGGAGGTATTTTCTGTGTTAGAGTTTTACTCGCTACAGGGTGTACTTTGAGGGTTTTGACTCTGCACACCGTTTACATGCATAAAAACCTTCATAACACACAAGGGGACGGGTAATAACCGGAAAAGCATGACATGGGAGCTTTAATATAGAGTGGTACTGTTAATTAATTAAGGAGACTCACTGTGCAGGTTCGGAAAAATCCAGAGGTGTCCTCTTGCAGATACACAGGAAGGGCATGGATAACGGTGGTACGCCTGGTGTTGATGTCATGTAATTCCTATAACGATAAAAATATAAGCGTACAAACTGTTGACTGTGAAGTTTACTGAACAAACCTGTCAATCCAACAATCCAATCAGAACATATATCCACAGATAACCTGTTCACATCTTTAATGCAATCAGACAAATAGCAAAAACAAAGTGGGCTAATTGTAAAATTCAAAAGATATTTTTTTAATCTGTCGACTATCAATGTTAGATGTTCAACCTTTGAATTGTAAAATAATCTCTTTACCTGTTCATCGTAGGATTTTGAAAATTTCAGCCAAAGCCTCAGCTGTCTTCCCAGTTTTGGACGCCTTCTGTCTAAATATGACCATCAGTCGAGGAAGATGGCGGTCAAAAGCAGCGTAGAACGTGTTCGGCAGATTCTGGTTGGTAATCCGTCGGAACTCTGCATACACCTATTTAAAAAACAGAGCAGAAGGACAATACAGCAATGTCAATTAGTCAGTTAAAAATAAATCAAACTAGGTTAAAGTGGTATCCTCCTTACAAATGTAATAGATCCTCCAAGTTTGACCAGTCAGTTCCTTCCCTGTGGCAAGAACGAGAACTTCAGCTGGACTGTTCTTTTCCTTGCATTACATTACATTACACCACAGGGAAGGAGCTGGAACTTTGAAGATCTATTACACTCCTATATACAGCAAATAGCCACTATAAGAGTCACAGAATGTGAATGTCAATAAAGAAGAAAACAGGAAAAAGAGAGCTAATCCATATTACCTCAGACTCCATTTTGAGAGCAAGCCAGAGGTCCATGAGCTCGTTCACTGGCGGGCACGTCCTCACTATGGTCTGTCGCCGCAGTGCAAATGTGGTCTGCATCATCTTTTTAATGAGGGGTAGGTCCATCTCAGTCTTCTTGACTTCCTCAACAATTGTCTGCCTCAAGTGCTCAAGACTTGAGGGATCCTCTCCTTGGGGAAGGTTGGGTAGAAAGTTGACTTCGGCTCGCTTGGGTCTTTTAATGTTGGATAAATGAAAAATATTCACAGTTAATACATTTATCGAGTATGATAGATTATTTATTTATATCTTTCAGAGAGAGAGAGAGCGAGAGCGAGAGCGAGAGAGAGAGACACAGACAGAGACACAGACAGAGACACAGACACAGACACAGTGTCCCCTTCAGACTAAAGCTGAACAAATCCTATATTTAAAATGTAATGTAAGCTACTGCCTAATAACTTCTTAAACATCCATTGAGTTATTGTTATATTGTTAGTATGGTAAATTAATTAATGGACAAGCGTTCACTTCAGAGCCTGTTTATAACCAGGGATGCAAACTCATCAGGTATGAAAAAGGTGACAAGGATCCGAGTCCCCCGAATATCGGCTTTAAAATGAGGAATAACAGAGGATTTTAGCAGTCAGAACAACTAAAGCAGCAGTGTTAATAATAACAGAAATGCCAAAGAGTCACATCTAATAGAAATATATAAAAGCATTTATTTTAATTGTGTAGCAGTCAGTTAACTAAGTTCATAAACTCAACAAGTACTATACTTACAATTTTGAGATACTTGTACTGTAAATGTTTTGCTACTTTGTTCTTCTACTCCACTACAGTTCAGAGGTAGATGGTGTACTTTTCCTCCACTACATGTATTTAATATAGGGATGCTCCGATCGATCGGTTACCGATCGAGATCTGCCGATACTCACTCTCTACCGATCGAGATCTGCCGATACTCACTCTCTACCGATCGATCGGTGCTCTCTAAACATGCCGATCGCGAGGGCCGATCGCATGACGTAAAATACATGACACTTTTCTCTGTGCAAAACAAGCTCGCCAAAATGGCTTCACCGGTCTGGCATTATTTGAAGGTGTCCGAAAAAGACAGTAAAATAGCGGTATGCAACGTGTGTGTGAAGCAGAAATCCTGCAGCTCCACCCGCTGTGACGGAGCGGTGAGCGGAGCGAAACACACAAGAGTTAGACCTAACACACTTAGCTATTTTATCTACCTCTGGAACAAGCTAAACTAGTTATAAATATGTTTATTCTTCACTGTCGGCCTCACACATTACTGGATCAGCGAGCTGCATGAGACGATACTGACGGGCTGTCAGGAGAGGGAGAGCGGGGGAGAGAGAGGGGGAGAGAGAGGGGGAGAGAGAGAGAGAGGAGAGAGAGAGGGAGAGAGAGGAAAAGAGAGCGCTTGCTCATTTCTCCCGTGTTATTATCCAAAGTGAATGTAAACTTGAATAATATACATAATTTGAATGTAATAATTAAGTTGATTGTTGTTTGTGGAAGCTCCAGTGAATGAGCATTAACTGAGTTTTAAACATCACTTTAAATGGAAGATTTAAAGTGATGTTTAAATCTTCCATTTAGGCCCCGCCCACTCGATCGGATCGGCGATCGGTATCGGCAGATACTGATTCCGGCGATCGGCGATCGGCCCCAAAATTGGCGATCGGAGCATCCCTAATTTAATACCTTTAGTTACTTCACAGATGTGGATGAATGATGTGAAATATAATCAAGTGTTAAATCAGACTTTAGTTCCACCTGGAGTAAATCCACAAGCTACCCTGCAGTATACAAAGTCATTCAAACTAGCTGCACCTTTCCCAGCTTTGAGAACACTTTCATGATCAATCATTATAAAACATATCATATATATTATTCTGAAATGGACCAATCTGCACAATGACTACTTTTACTGTCACTACTTTCACTATATTTTGATGAGAATACTTTTCTACTTTCACTTGAGGAACATTTTGAATGCAGTACTTTTACTGTAACAGAGTATTCCTACACTCTGGTACTTCTACTTTTACTCAAGCTGCTGAAGTTAGACCCTCATCGGGGAGCAGCAGAGTTCGGCCGACAGGCAGGAAGACTCGAGCACACAGCTCGCGCCCATTATAATATATACAAAAATAACACCATGCCCGCAGCCGCAGATTACTCCCCCCCCCCCACCCCACATTACCTTTCTCTGCTCTGCCCCAGGTGTGTGTGTGTGGCCTCGCGCTCGTTGAACCCGTATACAGAGGTTGAAACCTGGGTAAAGAAGAGTGTTAAACGTTAGCAGCGGCTCTCGTAATTCAGCAGCGAGGAAGGGAACACAAACACACACAACCCTCCGCGCCTCGTGGTTTACAGTGTGGTTTATACCCTTCAGACTAAAGCTGAACAAATCCTATATTTAAAATGTAATGTAAGCTACTGCTTAAAGGGCCCATGTCATGGCCATTTCCACTGATCATAATTCCATTGTTGAGGTCTACTAGAATAGATTTATATTGTGCAATTTTCCAAACTCACATTGGTTTCTCATACAGCATCTCTGTAAACTATGTGTATTCACTGAATTTCACTCTCTGCCTTTAATGGCTCGTTGTAGCTCCAATAGCTCCAGCCCCCACCCTCCCTGTGAGCACAGTGTGCTCTGATTGGCTCCGTGGAGGTGTTGTTTCCTTGTTAGCGATACACAGCCAAACACAGCCAAACTCATCCTGAGCACACACAAAGTCACAGCCGAAGTAAAAACAATAAGTGTGGCTTGATATTGAGTAAGAAAAAGGTTGATAAACGCTGTGAGAGTGGGTCTGCAGAGAGAATTTCGCCGCGATCCCAACTGTCTGTTATCAGCCTGCAGCCAGGGAGGAGAAATCAGCTGAGCTGCCTGCTCCCTGCACACAGATGTGTGTGTGAGGAAGTCCGTGGATTGGTCAATTTGGACCAATCAGCGGGGGCTTAACGTAACGGCTCCGCGGACGTAACGTAACGGCTCCACGGATTGGTCCATTTCGTTCCGGGTACGGCTTGACATCATGCCGTACCCGGAACGAAATGGAAGAATCAAATGGACAATGACGTATCTCCAACGAGGCGTTTTGGGGAGGTATTTTCTGTGTTAGAGTTTTACTCGCTACAGGGTGTACTTTGAGGGTTTGTGACTCTGCAGACTGTTTACATGCAGAAAAACCTTCATAACACACAAGGGGACGGGTAATAACCGGAAAAGCATGACATGGGCCCTTTAATTCATTCTTAAACATCCATTGGGGAAATGTTAGTATGGTAAATGATGAATTAATGGCCAACAAATGGACAAGCGTTCACTACCGAGCCTGTTTATAACTGACATCGTTATATTTAATTTAACATTACCTGTCTCTGCTCTGCTCCGTCCCGTGTGTGTGGCCTCACGCTCGTTGAAACCGTATAAAGAGGTTGAAACCTGGGTGAAGGAGAGTGTTAAACTTTAGCAGCGGGTCTCTTAATTCAGCGGCAGCGAGGAGAGCACGGAGGAAGCACACACAACCCTCCGCGCCTCGTGGTTTACAGTGGATGAAAACGTTAGCTTGCTAACGGACCGTCTCCACAGCAGCGTTAAAAAAATCTTGGAGGTGGGCGTATCTGAGGCTTGGGGATTTTTTTGCGATCAACCAATTACATGAATCTCCCGCCCGCGACATACGAAGCCAAAAAGCCCGAAGTAAACTGGATATAAACTCCCCAAAAACAGGCGAAAACATACCACTGTCTCTGCCACCTCCCTCCATGCCTGGCTCCTCCGGTTTATATCCCGGTAGGTCTGGTCATAAAGCACCGGGTGATTGATTCGCTACCGCTAATTTCTCCTCCATTTTTTGGAATATGAGGAAATGACCTGCGGTATGTCTCTCCCAGCATACACGCCGTTTGATTGGCTAGAGCTTGAACTGCCAGATTTGCGTACACGGGATTTGATTGGCTGCCGCTTCCACCTCAGCTTCAAAAGTTGAACATGGTTCAACTTTGAATCTTGAAAATCCTGAGAATCTCCGCTCGCCTGCCCACAATGCATTTCGGCGAAAAGTGAGGGAAAGTGACGTCACCCCATTCAAAGTGAATGGGCAGAAGCGTTTCAAGATTTTTTAACGCTGCTGTGGAGACGGCCCGTAACTGTTAGCAAACAGCTAAATGTTAGCAAAAAGTTTCGGTTTGAGGAGGTGTTAAATAATGACTTTCAGTCCAATGCGTTCGGGGTTGCTCGTAGTAAATTAAGTAAATGGTTGGGTATATTATGACACACATGAGTATAAATTGATTAAACTAACATTGAAGGCTTTTATTAGGAAACCTACCTGTTCTGTTAGTGTTTCAACAGCTGCCGTCACTACGAGCATCCACAACCACAATGCATTTGGCTGAACTTTTTGAATACATAATTAGCTTAGGGGCAATGACATTTTTCATCATGTTTTAACGAACATTTCAACGTACAACAAAAAGTTCAGCCCTACTTTGGCACCAACAGTTTCCACAACTACATCTCTTACTACAAGTTAACATTATACAGTAACTGCAAATAATTCAATTTCTGTGAATCTGCTGACTCAACCTCTGGCTAATAATGCTAGCTAACATGCATGTATCTGGCTAACATCAACACTCTCTTTCACATGTTTAATCTCAAAATATTTGAAAAAGTGAAGAAATATGAAAAAGTGAAGAAATATGAATATTGCACTCACTAATGATGCTGATTACCACCGGAAAGTGTGGAAATTAAGTGTGAAGATCCACCTTATTGCAGGTATTAGCCGCGTGCTGCATCCCGGTTTCGACAGTTAGTGACGGTTAGCGACGGTTAGTGACGTCAGACACACAATAATGATTAGAAATGAGTACAGTTCAATGTATATGTTTAAGTGATGCTTACTTAATCTGCCAAATAGTTCAAGTTAATCAAAGATTATCAGTGTAATCAGGGCTGCCAACATTTGAGTTCAGCTTGGAGTGAGATTATTTTTTTGGTGAACCGAAAAAAGAAACGTTCATGTGTACAGTGTTACAAATGTATTGAACATGTACAAACTAGGGTTTCCCATTAATGTACGGGGCGCTGCATATAGGTGTAAAACAGAGGTAAAGTGCTATTTTATAAGTGTGTCACCTCCTCTAGGGGCAGGGGCAGACTGGCCATTGGGAATACCGGGAGTTTTCCCGGTGGGCCGGTACCGAAGTGGGCTGGTCGGGCAATTCACTGTATATACTGTATAGTATAATAGTAAAGTTATTTAAGATGATGCCATATTTATCGAAGATTTACATTATAAATATTCCCCAAAATTATTCAAAAGCATATTCTTCAAAACTCCTTGCTGTAGTATGACCACCAGGAGACTTGATGTGTGTAGTGAGTTTGGTAGTAATAAGCTGTATAATAGTGATTGAATATTATTGTATTCTCTTTTTTCGGAGTTGCACTTTGCAGACGGTCCCTGACAGAGACCAATGTAATGTGTCCAGCTCGGAGGACGGCGCATATTGGCTTTTTTTTTTTCAAAATGTGATTGTAGTTCGTTGTCAACCTTAACCACGGTACTTAGGAGACGTCATTTGTGTCTGAATAACGTTTTGTTCATGAGTTATTGATCCGTGAAATCAGAATCTCCCAATATCGTTCCAACTTTACTGAACTAAGCCAAAAGACCGTCTCATTTCGTAGACCGCTCAGTTTGCTGTTCCTTCACTTTATTTTTATATTTATATACATTTATTTTGGACGAAAACTTAGCGTGAGGAAAGGCAAGTGTGGCGTGAGTGCGTGAGATATGGGTTAATTGCGTGACTCTCACGCTCAATGCGTGAGTGTTGGCAGCCCTGGTGTAATTAAGTCAAAAAGGAAGAACAGTCACAGGAACTGAATATATTGAAGTTAGTAGAACTTTTTTTTAAATTTAAGTTTACAATAATTAATCTATTTAATTATTTTGAACGTTCGGGTTTACAGTGTAGTTTGTTTGGACCGTTTGGAGCAGGGGAAGATTCGGGTACACAACCTGTAAGTTTGCATTGTTATTTGTGTATTTATCAAACAAGACTGTTTAAATGTGTAAACTGTGTCGGACTGCTAAGCCATTGACACAGTGCTAACTGTGCTAACTAAGTTGCTAGCGTTTCCATATATCAACTCTAATATCAGCAGATGGCCATACATGTATCTCATAGCAGGAGAATGTCTGCATTCACACACAAAATACTCATAGACAGTATACTCCAGGTGATTTGCCATACGGTCAGTCGCGAAACGTAATTACATTATAGCTGGTGTAGCGTGTATGCTACCGAGCTAATCAACGGAGCTAGACATGGGTTTGCTCGGGAAAACATTTTTGTTATGCCTGCTACAATGAATGTAGCAGACTACCCGTATAAGATTGCAATTGTAAACACGTTCTTGCTAGCCTAATATGAATCACTAGCTTTTGTTCATACTGGTTTTATTACACTAAACAAGCCCAGCTTACTGGGCTAACGACGTTGCTAGCGTTTAAATATATCAACTACAATGTCAGCAGATGGCCTTACATGTTTGTCATGGCAGGAGAATGTCTGCAGTCACACATGGAATACTCATACAGTATACTCCAGGTGATTTACCGTACATTGTGACAGTACATGTACATACTGCATGTATAGCTAACGAGGCTAGCTATACATGCTAGCGGAAAAAAATGTATTCATGCCAGTTACAATGAATGACCGAACGTAGCAGACTACCCGTATAAGATTGCAATTATAAACACGTTATTGCTAGCCTAATATGAACCACTAGCTTTTGTTCATAGTAGTTTTATTACACTACATTATAGTTGCCGTTCCTCTGAGCTAGCGTTCATATCGTGTTTGCTACCAAAGGTAAACAAGAAAGCTAGGTTAGCATATTAGCTGGCAAGCTTACTGTGTTGATAAGATAGATGGATTAGATAGATCCACACTCCTACCACAACTACTACTAACGAATCTAAAACAACTAAGTTTCTCTAATATTTTGTGATTTGCATTTGATTTCGTCCAGCCAGATCCTGCCGGACAATACATGACGGGACTACCACACTGATGCATCGTCCTAAAAATCCCCGGCTGCGATAGGCAAGATGCCGACAACGGGGAGGAATGGATGATATACCGCAGTGGTTCCCAAACGGTGTGCCGCGGCACACTGGTGTGCCGTGAGGCAAGTCCGGGTGTGCCGTGGTATTTTGCGACAACCATACGTTATTTAAGCAATAGCTCACGACAGGCCGTGGTATATGGCCATTATATCACAGTTAAGGGGCGTGGTTCGGCCCGACGCGAAGCGGAGGGTCGACATATCTGTTACCATATCTGTTACTATATATATATATAGTTACTTGTTACTTGTATAGGTTGAGGTTGTTCTAGGCTGTTGCTTGGCGTGGCGAGAATATTGCTCCACTTTCTCCGGTCCCCGAGATTCGGCTTCCAGTAGTTCTGGAGAGAGCTTTCGCACCTGTGGCCACTAACGGTCATAATTTCTCTGCTTTGTTTCAAGACCCGCATCAGAAAGCTTTTGAATGGTGGTACCTTTCCAGTTGGTCGACCTGCTCTTCACGTAGCTCTGCATGTCGTCGTTTAGGTGCTTTTTGTTCTGGAGATAGGCACTCCTCAATCCACTCCTCCATAGTAAGACCCCCCCCCCCCCCCCCCCCCCCCCCGGAGGTCGAAGTTAATCTTAAATGTTTTTGAGGACCTTTTTGATTACAGATTTGAAAACATCGTTGCTTGCTTTAAAAGTAGCACAATTCATTATGTCAAACCTTGGAAAGTATCTAAATATCCCTGCCCTAATGCCAAAGGAACTGCACACTGAATATGTTTTTGCCGTTTGATGTCTATGTCTGGACCGTTGCGTAAAAAGGAGGGTTTCTGCCCCGTTACTTCTCCGCTGCTTTCTTGTGGGTTTCTTTTGCTACCAAAACAGAATACAAATTATGTTTGGGACAAAGGGTTTTCTTGCAAAGACATACAAAGTGTGGAGGGAAGCATTAGTTCAGATCAGAAGTAATAGGGATTTTGTTGAAGAGGACTTATTATGCTTTTTGGGGTTATTCTTTCCTGTAGTGCAGTGGTCACCAACCTTTTTAAGCCCAAGATCCCCGACCTCGGCCTTGGTGAAAGGCGAGATCTACCTATTGCAGAATTGATTGAAAAAGACGGCCCAGACAGTACTTCCAATTTGAGGCCTTTTATATAGGCTAATTGCATCTGAATTACATCAAATCATTTGGGGCAACTTCCAATTTGATTAAACCAAACATAACATAACACAACATAACTAACATGTCAGAAAGGATAAATATATATATTTACATCATACCTATCATTTTAAGTTTCATTCATTCCTTCATTACAATCCTAAATATAAATGTATGTAGCGTATTTTCCATTTGTTTTAACGAATGAGTAAATTATTTTGTTGACAGCAACAACAACAAAGAAAAAAACAACATCTTGCAGTGAGCAGATAACATAAAGTGCCATTTTAACGGACCGTCCACACAGCAGTGTTAAAAAAATCTTGGAGGTGGGCAGAGTTGGGTGTAACGCGTTACAAAGTAACGCTTTACTGTAATAATATTACTTTTGTCGGTAACGGAGTAGTGTAACGCGTTACTTTTATAATTCAGTAATCACACTACAGTTACTAACATTGCCCCGACACGCGTTACTTCGTTACTTTTATAAAATCAGTCATAATCACACTGACAGACAAGAGGGGTTTCCGCCGCAGGTTTATATGTACGTAATCTGCGCGACTTGCGCGTCCACATCTCCACGTGCAGTGCTGCATAAACATGGCAGAGTCAGCGATAACTTTCGAGGGGTGGAGGTATGCCCATTATTTTGAGTTCGTCCGAAGAATAGACAGGAATGTGACGGTGAGGTGCAAACTGTGTCCAGGCCAGAAGCTGTTATCCACTGCTGTAAACACCACGTCAAACCTCAACAAACACCTGCAAAGAACACATGCTAAGGTGAAGCTAATAGCTAAGGACCCCCAAACCCAGAGTGAGGATGTTGTGAGTGCGCCGCCGCCGACCGAAGCAGCACAAATTAGAATTTGGAGGACCGGTAACCAAAGCAGAGATGGACAGGCTTGTAGCATCCTTCATAGTAGAGGTAATGTTGCCCATTTGCACAGTGGAATCACCATCGCATCGTTCAGAGATATACTGCGCAAAATACAGATAGCAGGAGACAGAGGACAGCCATAGTCAGAGCTATCTGACTATCTGACTTGTTATGCGACAATGGAAACTGAACTAAAGAGAACATTTGAAACTTTAGCAGTCTGCGTGATCTGCCTGTAGGAAGGGGCGGGCCGGCCCTGCGAGTAAAGTAACGAGT